TGTGGGGATGCCCCGCTTCCCCCCGGGGAAAGCGGGACCGCTGTTATCGCTCTGCCCTCCCTCTTGGCGCCAGTTGCCGCCACAAACACTTCTGTTCTGAGGGCTCCTCTGCTGGGCGCCCCGTTCGCCTGAGGCCGCCGGCAGCCGCGCCGGTCGCTCGTCGCTGAGATCTTGTTTTTCACGGGTTAACGCGTAAAAAACCGACTTTGTCTAGGCGTGCCAGAGACCTACTCATCTTTCTCCTACCGGTGTCTGCCAGAGGTACGCGAGGAGCTTAAGTTTTAAAAGCTCTTTGTGTGTATCGGGGTATGAACATTATAAACTGTTAAAAGCTTTTTAGGTCTGTTACAGGAATTTTTCATTTTCTTATGTGAAAGATTGCTTGCCAGTTGACTACACTGCACTCCGCTGCAAGTGTGAGCCCGAGTGAATGATCTGCTGTGGATTATGGTTTTGCTGTTTCCGAAGTGATGACTTTTGGTCAGTCGTTATTCCATGCAACCTAGAGTTTCTTCCTGCCATTTTAAGCTGATGCTGAAGGTTTGCAGTGGAATAAATCCTTACATGCTTTGGGTTATTTTTATTGCAAGAAATAATATCAAAGAGGAGTCACAAGGAAGTGCAGCGTAATGTCAGTATGGCAAACGTAGGAAAAATGTGCTGAGTTTTGTTGTATTAGGACTGGATAATCTCCCCACTGCACATACATTCTGCTCCAGTTTACACAAATGAAGAAGAGGTCATAATTGGTTTTCAGCTAAACATTTAGAATTTTTTGGTGAAAAACAGTATTTTGCTTAGGTCTTTTGCTCGCCCTTCCTCTTTGTATTGTCTACAGTCTTTCCCTGTTCCCAGCTCAGTAGGCTTTATTTCGTTTGTTGGCATAGAAAGTAACATTGATAATACATGGTCGTTTGAATTATTACTACTCTAGTTGTGATAATAGATGGCTGGAGTCATGTCTGCTCTTCAAATGACTTTGATGACACTCGGGATTCAGGTATATGAAGAAGTGCTGGGAATTAATCCAGGCTTTAGTTTTACCATGGAACAGCTGATGTGTTCTCACTGCCTGTCAACATGGTCTTCCCTGTGACAAACACAGGGTGAGACTCTCCGTGAGAGCAGTGCTTACAGAGCAGCAGATGTGCCGTAAGGTTGTGTCCTAGCTTGATTTGTGGTAGATCGTTCCTTTTCCTTACTTAAAAGATTATTTTGGTAGTTGTCACAGAAATGTTAACTAAATCCTTAGATTCTCTGTGGTTTCTGTCATGTGACTCTCCTGCAAGTCTCTCTGGCTGTAAATGCAACAGATGCTTGGTGGTTCTTGAGGAAAGCTGAATTTCTGGCAGTTGTTACAGGGGCTGTAACTTCCGCCACCTTCTAAGGAAAACAAGGCTGCAAAACTCCCACTAGTTTCAGGTGGATCGGGAATCCTCAAGACTTGCTTACACGAGGAATGGGAGGTTGGTCACTTATTTGTTTTTCTGTCATGCTTAGTAAAAATTGATTCTTATTTCTTCACAGAATCATTTTAAAAAAGACTACAGAGCAAGATTCTGCCATGGAGGAGGGTAATTTACATTTAAAATTTTATTATTAAATACAGTTGTTTGGAAAACATTGGTTTTTGTCTGAGAGCTTAATGCCAAAACTATTCAGTGTATCTTATTAAACTGATGCTATGATGTTTCCCAAAATTCTTATATTTCTTAGTGTTGAGAGGAGCAAATTGTGCTGGGGGACAAAGCACCACGAATTTCTTTTGCGTTCCTCTGCTGAAGCAGCAGGCTGTGGTACCATGGTGTAGCTATACCTAAGCTACCCCTGACTAGGCTGTCTGAGCATGGAAGCCGTAGTCTGTGCAAACATCTGATGACACCAAGCTGTGTGGTGTGGTGGACACGCTGGAGGGAAGAGACGCCATCCAGAGGGACCTTGACAGGCTGGAGAGGTGGGCCTGTGAGAACCTCATGAAGTTCAACAAGGCCAAGTGCAAGGTCCTGCACGTGGGTCAGGGCAATCCCAAGCACAAGTACAGGCTGGGCGGAGAATGGATTGAGAGCAGCCCTGAGGAAAAGGACTTGGGAGTGCTGGTGGATGAGAAGCTCAACATGAGCCAGCAATGTGCGCTGGCAGCCCAGAAAGCCAACCGTGTCCTGGGCTGCATCCAAAGCAGCGTGGGCAGCAGGTCGAGGGAGGGGATTCTGCCCCTCTACTCAGCTCTCGTGAGACCCCACCTGGAATACTGTGTTCAGCTCTGGAGTCCCCAGCACAAGAAGGACATGGAGCTGCTGGAGCGGGTGCAGAAGAGGCCAGAAAGATGATCCGAGGACTGGAGCACCTCTGCTATGGAGACAGGCTGAGAGAGTTGGGGCTGTTCAGCCTGGAGAAGAGAAGGCTCCGGGGTGATCTTATTGCAGCCTTCCAGTACTTAAAGGGGCTACAGGAAAGCTGGAGAGGGACTTTTTCCAAGGGCATGTAGTGATAGGTCAAGGGACAATGACTTTAAACTGAAAGAGGGCAGATTTATATAGGATCTAAGGAAGAAATTTTTCACTCAGAGGGTGGTGAGGCAGTGGCACAGGTTGCCCAGAGAGGCTGTAGATGCCCCATCCCTGGAAGTGTTCAAGGCCAGGTTGGATGAGGCTTTGGGCAACCTGGTGTAGTGGAGGGTTTCCCTGCCCATGGCAGGGGGGTTGGAACTCGATGATCTTTGAGGTCCCTTCCAACCCAAACCATTCTGTGATTCTATGACTCCTTGTATGAAGGGATAGATGTGCAGCCTGCACATTTCATTTCTGGGTTTACTGGGATGGGATAACTGTGCAGGCAACATTACTTGAGGACTGATTTAAAAAAAACTTATTTATTTCAAGTGAGAATCTCTCTTCATGCCAAAGCTCTTTTACCTGATGGCTGCTGCAGTAGTTGTATGTTTTCTCTTATGTAAAGAGATTTCTTCTTTTTCATCATATTCTGTGGCAGTGGGGCTTTTTCTCCTGGAGTTTATGTTTAGACAAGTTTCTTTGCAGGTGTCTGGGCATGGCAATGGTAGGGAAAATATATTAAAATTGGGGCTAGTGGAAATAATCTAAAATATTAAGTAGCAAGAACCCTACCACTTTTGTGTTGTTGGGATAGGAACAATTAGTATTTTTGATTGAAAATATTTTTTTCTCCTCTTTTTTCCAGAAACAAGATTGATGTACAGCCAGGTCAAAACGTACTGAAAATCATCCAGGATTGTTTCGAAAGTAGGTTTTCATTTGGTGTTTTGCTTAATTTTCTGGTTAAAGAAAAAAATCATTTCTTCCTTGTATTGTATTTAGTGGTAAATAAATAGAAATAAAAAATAGAGATAAAAGGATAAAAATAAAGTCGTTCTCACAGTCTCTAAAAGCACTCCCTTCCCAGCTGCTTAAAACTGTCTTAACAGTTTTGTAAAGGTAATCTTTCTCCAGAGTAGCAGGATTATTTCGTGCTTGGATTTATGTCACCTTAACGAGCCTTTGCAACTTGTCAAAATAAATGAAGCCGGGACAATTCCAAGAATCCCTTACTTACGGTTTTTCCTTTCTAGGTTGTGACAGTGATCTCACAACAAGGTCTCCAAGTGCTCCCCGTTGCTCAACTCCTGTTGTCAGAAACAAGAACAGGACATCGATACAGAGCCAAAGGGTACGTTGGTTATGGCAGTGTCACAACACAGCGTTGGGCACAGTTTCACCTGGAAACAAGCCTAGTTTTGTTGACCCCACCTGGAATACTGCGTTCAGCTCTGGAGTCCCCAACACGAGAAGGACATGGAGCTGCTGGAGCGAGTCCAGAGGAGGCCACGAAGATGATCTGAGGGCTGGAGCACCTCTGCTATGGAGACAGGTTGAGAGAGTTGGGGCTGATCAGCCTGGAGAAGAGAAGGCTCTGGTGTGATCTTATCGCAGCCTCCCAGTACCTAAAGGGGGCCTACAGGAAAGCTGGAGAGGGACTTTTTCCGAGGGCATGTAGTGACAGGACAAGGGGCAATGGCTAACTGAAAGAGGGGAGATTTAGATTAGATATAAAGAAGAAATTTTTCACTGTGAGGGTGGTGAGGCACTGGACCAGGTTGCCCAGAGGAATTGTAGATGCCCCATCCCTGGAAGTGTTCAAGGCCAGGTTGGATGAGGCTTTGAGCAACCTGGTGTAGTGGAGGGTGTCCCTGCCCATGGCAGGGGGCTTGGAACTAGGTGATCTTTGAGGTTCCTTCCAACCCAAACCATTCTATGATTCTGTGGGATTTGGTTCTGCATGAGTGTGGAATGAATAAGCTCCACGTGTCACTTCTATTAGTATAGAGGCTATGATTTAACTTTCTGTTGTAGTTGTTGGTAATATTTTTTCTTAGTTTGTTGTGCTCTAGTAGTAAATATTCTATAACTAGATTTCTTGAAGACCTTGTTTTCTTGGGTATTTGCTAATGAAAGGTTTTTCAGCTTTTTGTCCAGGACAGTTAAATTTCCTGTGGTGTCAGGTTGAAGCACGCTGTCTTATAACTGGTGGTGGGTGTGGCTGCCTTGGACTCCGTTTGGGTTGGTTTCGGCCCCTTTGCCAGCTCTGTGGACACAGTTCTTGGCTGTCTAATGGATAGTAAAATTGAAAGGTGATGCTTGTATAAAAGCAGCTTGTCAACTCCTGACAAACAGTGATCTGAACAACAACTGTGTATCTGTAACTTCCTTGGAGAGTGGAAACAAGTTGAGGGACTTGTTAATGTGCCGTCTGAGAGAATGGTGCCAATAATCCAGTTTGTTTATATAGTTTCAATATTTTGATTCTAATAGTTTTTTGTAAAAATTGGATATTCTTTTAATGGCAGTGTTGAGAACAGGCATCCTTTATAATGGTGATTGTTTACTTCAGTCTGATGTTACAATATCGTATAATCCCAAAGAAATTCTTGCAAAACCTCAACCTGACTTAACAAAGGTGAATTAAATTGTTTAAATTAATTCATTCTAATGAAAAGAATCTTGCCTGTGGACTAGCAAGATGTCTGTTCAAAGCTGCAGATAGATTTTTGCTGTCCACACTGTTTTACCTGTTTGAAATTTAGAGTTAGTTTTAGAAAGTCTTGTGACAGAAAGTTGAAGTGCGTAGTTAGAACTGTGCTTCAAATGAAGTCCGAGTAAGAGTTAAGGGAAGGAAATTATATTGTGTTCTGCAGAGGTTTATATTCCTGTCAAAATACTGTTGCTTTATCAAATATTTTATTTTTTCTCATTGTTCATTATCGACTATGACAACCAAAGGCAGGGTTAACTAACTCTGTGAAAAGAGCCTGTAGTTCTGAGGAGCCCTTACTTGCATCACCACTGAAACCAGTCAGCAGCAGAGGTTGGTAGCACTATTATTGAACTAATTTTTGGTGGGTTACTGTTTCTTGGGCTTTTGTAACATTTTGAGTCCAAGAATCAAACCTATTTTATATATGTATGGCAGACTGGTTACGTGGATCACCCCTGAAGCCTGCAATACGTCATTATGTCGCTGGTTCTAGAAAAACAAAATCTCCTGTGTCTAAAAGAGAAACAAATAGTTTATTAAAAGATGTTGAAGCACTATCCAAAAGTCCTTCGGATCCTGAGGATGATCACGAGTCTCTTGAATCACCTCTTCTTGTGGAGGAAGCGAAAAGTTCTCCTGTACATAAGTAAGTAGAACTGAACATGGTGGTGGTGTCGTGTCCCCCCACCTTACTCCTTAGGCTAAACTCCATTGATGAGTTTGGATTGTGAACTCATAAAAAATAATTCCAAGCTTTTTAGAAAATTTCCATCTGGGTTTAGAAAGGACAGACTTGTTGTTTATTAGTTGTTGTTCTACTGGTGATAATGGTTAATTCCTCAAAGTGCAGTACCCAAGTGCAGGAAGCCTGTCAGAATAGATTTGAACTCTATTTCGCAGGAAAGTGCCCCAATTTATCATTTTCTCAGGTAGTCCAGACTTTTTCAGTGAATCCTAGTGACAGTGTTGACCTTAAAAGTTAACAAAAAATTGCAGATATTAGCAGCCATGGTTCCTCTCGCTCTGAATATGCAAATATTTTATACAAAGTAGAACAACTTCAGTTGCGATCGTTATCTCCTCTTTGGAAAATTTGAAGCCCAGCTGCGCTAGTGGCCAGTGGTCCCAGCCACAGTTCTGTTTTCCTGGAGTAGTGAATCTCTGGGGTAGGTCACAGAGAGGGGCTGACGCTGATCCCATTAACTCCCACTGATGGAGTGAGACTGGGAAGAGAGTGCACCTAGGGTTTAGGAAACCTGACGATTTCTGAAGCACGTTCTCCTAAAATTAGGAATTTGGCTTGCTGAGCAGCCTTCACTTTGATCACAAGCTGACCCCATGTTGCCTCTTGGACACTTGCTACTGTGCTGGGAAGTAGTACTGCTAACCTGTGTTCCAGCAAATTACCAAGTGGAAGCTTATTCGTAAGAAATGAGATGCTGTCAGCAGGAGAAGATGAGGGCATCTGTCCATCTACCCAATACTTTAATGTGCACTCAGGATTTGTAGCATCATATTTGAATGCTGTTTCTCGTACACAGGTTACAATTCGATGACCAAAATACTCCTGCTGCAGTAAAGAGCCTGGAAGGACCTCAGACTGGGAGAGATGAGCAGGTTGTTTGTGTGAAAGGAACAAAACGTATTGCTACGTCTTCTGTACAGAAAGAGAAGTCTTTCTCTTCGGCTGTCTTGGCAGCTGTAGCAACAGGAACGCTTGGAAAAAGGTTTGTTTTGAGGCTTAATATGGAACGTAACGTGCTAGTAAAATAACCCAGTCCTGAGTACTGGAGGAACATCCTTTTGTCTATAAACATGGTCTGGGAGAATGTGTTTGAGATAGTCCAGCATTACTGAAAAATGCCGCTTGAGGAAGGGTTTGAATAGTTGTTTTGAAGTTTTGTGCTGTTAGGACTTAACAGTGCTGTTGCTTTTGCCTGCCAGTGAAATAGTATGTAGCTGTTGAATAGTGTTTCAGATTGAGCCTGGGATGTTTTGGCAGGTAGGTTGGAGGATTTGGGAAAACCTAGTGTGATTCTGAAGTTAGCAGTGATCAAGCAGTCTTTTTCAGAGCTAGTAAGGATGTTACCAGTTAGACAGGAAGTTGTCTATCCAGCACCTGAGCAATAATGAGGTGTGAATCTGAGGACCAAGCAAGGACAAGCAGGCCTTGTGCTCTTTTTGGAAGCTAAAGGGCAATGAATGATGAACTTTATAATAATTCTTCCAAGGAATGTCCTGTAGCTTGTCAAGGTGTTCTGGAGTCACCGCTAGATTTGCAAGATTGAAAGTCTTTTTTTTTTTCCGGTTGAATGATATGAATATTTTGTCCCTCCTTTCTTTAGATATTCGGCCTCAATATCACCGCCATCACCACCTCCTGTGAAAGATCAAGATACAGAAATAGAAAATGAAATTGAATTTTTAATTGATGACTCAGATGGTGTATCTTCTAATTCTTGGTTTTCAATACCCCGTAAGAACAAAAAATCAAAACCAGATGGCTCTGCAACTCCTGTTTCTAAATCTCAGCCCTCTGAGAAGGAGAAGACAGAGACTAAGAAAGGCAAGAACAGAAAAGGACAGGTTGAAGCACTTACTAAACAGAAAATGGATGATTTGGATGTTGGAGTACCTGACTTCAGAGGAACATCAGAGTCTGATCCAGTTTCCAACAGTGAAGGAGAGGTCCTTAAATCTCAAAGGCAAAACAGTACTCATGTGGGTAAGTTATTTAACAGATCTTCAGCCTTCTCCTTCCAGGTCACATTGCTGGATTTTTTTGGTGGTGGTTTATTGGGAAATAAGGATAAAGTAGATGAGAGACATTAGTGGGTTCCTAATTGATGTTTCAGTTGCACAGTTAGGTTTGGGTGCATGTGAGGCAGTGAGACAGTGTCTTTACTCTTCCCCTCGTCCTCCTTCCTCGTAGGACTTTAAAAATTAAGTTAGCAGTGTTGCCTTTTCTTGTGAGCACACAAAGAACCCACAAGCTTTTACTCCTTTCTCCATAGAAAGAAGATTAAGAAACATGCTTTGAACTGAAAGGGATCAGTTTTTAGAAATTATTTGAGAAGAGTTTTGTAGCAGGAAGCACTAAAAACTGGAAAACAGATAGAATTTAACATTTCTGCCCTTTTTTTCTGCTAGGAAATACTGGAAGTACACCAAAAATTCTGTTGTGACTTTTCCATACACTATAGTTAGAGAAAGCCTTTTAATCATCAGGGAAAAATCTGGTTTTGTGGGTTTTTTTATTTTTTTTTTTAATTCTTTGGTTTATTTGTATGCATTCAGATGTCAACACACATCTTCAGGTTTGATGGGAGAAGATACTAACTTCCAAGTGTTTTGTGTATTGATAGGAAAGACTAAAAAGGATGCACTTAAGCAGGGCTCTCCAAACCGGAAAAAGGAGAGGTCCTGGAAACCAGAAGCCGAAGAAGTGATGTTGTCATGTTCTGTGTTGGGAACAAAAGCATCTGATGCAGGACAACGTAAAGCAAGGCTGCTGCCAAGTGAGGATTCTCCTGTGCCCTCAGCTGGTCATCAGCAAGAGCCGTCTGTGTCTTCAAAAAAGAATCTCAAGTCTTCCAAGTCTCTGCAGTCAGCTTCAAAAGCTTCTTCCCAGCGTTTAGTTCCCACGAAACACACTAAGCAGAAACTTACAGAAGATACAGTAGCTCAGAAACTGGGAGAAAGTCAGGGGAAGAAGCTTAAAAAATCTGGCAAGAAAAGTAGTGATAAAAAACCTCGGTTACAGAGAGAGGAGAGTTCTGACAGCGAGCCTGGTGAAGAGGAGCTCGAAAGAGAGCCTGGAAAACTGAATGAAGTGTTTGCCTCACCTGTGCGGCACAAATTCCAGGCGTCTGGGATTCAGAAGCTGCCTGAGTCTGAAAAGCCCAAAAGTGTGTCGCAGGCTTTGGAGTCGCTCGGTGGTGCAAATAACAGAACTCCTGTGAAAGCACAACAGCTTCCCCTAGGCAGCGTGAAGAATTCCGGAAAGGAACAAGTATCAGCCAAGTCCGCAGGGAAGGTATCCAAAAAAAGTGATCGCAGAACCAGCAAAGGTGTTTGCTCAAACCCTGAGGACGCTGAGTCTGAAACGGATTCCGACAGCTCTTCTGTGCAGAAAGCAGCAAGAAAAAGCCAGAAGTCATCAGATGGGAAAACAAAAAGTAGCAAAAGAAAACGTAACGCACAGCATGGACTACAGTAAGCTTTTTATGTAATTCCTTACAAATGCGGTATGACTTGGTAGGTAATTAAACACATCTTGTTAGTTTTTAAACAGTAATGGCCCAGTTGAGTCATGTGATGGTTTCAGGCTGGTTGAATAGCTACTAGAGAAACCAAATGGTGTATCAGCATCCTGTTCTCAAAGGTGGCTACCAAATCCAGTGGCTGCTTCTACATAAGGAAACTTGTGCTGGAATTTTTCAAGTGTTCTTTTGAGACTGGAGTAGCAGATCCAGTTTAAAAACAAAAAATAGACAAAAAAAGATACACATGCACGCACAACCCCACCACCTGTAGAAAAACTTTACTGCCAGGTTTGTTACTTTGTTTACAAATTGAGAAAATAATGTTTCATTCTTCAATTGTATTTATTTTGGTGGAAGTAACTTTACTAATGATAAGTGATCAAAAGAATAAGCTTCTTTAACCAGTCTAATTGAGTTTTAATCACTGTGCAAAGAACGTGCTTTGTATTTTTTTTTTAAATGTCTATTTTATGGTTCTATTCAGTATATAAAGTTATTACTGAAAGGAACCTGCAGGTTAAGTAAAATTGACTTAACATAATAATAATAATTTTTTCTCTTCTAGAGATTTCTTTGCAGCTGAGAAGGCTACAAGTCATGAAAGGTAATTTCCTGCATTGTCTGCAAAACTTGCATTTAATCTCACTTGTGCCTCACTGAGAACAGCTGTTTGGTGCTACTACTGCATTCCATGTTCTACTGGCGCAGAACCTAGTAGCAAAGGAGTTGTGGTTCATGCCTGAGGTGTTTAAATACTGTGCTGATGCAGTTAATAAACTAGTAAAACTCTTCTTCCTGTCATGAGTAAGGGGTCATAGTAAGTTTCTTGCCCTTGGGGATTTTTTTTTGGCTTTGAGGCTTGCTTCCACATTGGTGTGTGGTTTTTGAACAGAAACACCAGTGCTCCTGGAGCTAGTAACAACTGTGCTGATAAAGTTACTGTTAAGTAAGGTGTGGAACTGTACCTACGACCCGAACTCTTGGTTGTGCACAGTCACAGACGGGGAAGGGAGGAGAGGTTGAGCTGTCAGAGAAGTCCTGCTACAAGAAATTTGATTGCTCTAGAGTCTCTGGTGGAGTTACATAGTTGTTAATCATTGTCATTTGGTGGGGGAGATTTTATGACAGAATGCATATTACAAATTACAATTACAAACTATTTTACTGTCCTTTCCTTACGGTATGCAAAACATTTCTTTAAAGCAGTTCTATAACCGTGGGCTATGGAAAATTTCTTGAAACATAATGCTACAGAGGAGAGGAGGTCTGTTTCTTTTGGAAGGGAATAAAAAGAAAAAAGCTCAAAAGATTTTTCGGAAGCCTGTTTAGAGAGAAGGTGTGAATGCCATTTTGTCTGCCTGATGGCCGAGTAGAGAAGCCATTGATGAATTTCAGACCTGTGCTTCCTAACTCACAGTCATTTGCTTCAGTGTCTGTTTGGGACAGACAAAGGGCAACAAAACTCACCCCATGTGATCTTATATTTGCTCTTGCTAGTGCTGTAATGTTCCTTTGACATTTAACATGTTCAAGCAGGTGTATTTTTTTTTTTTCCTTTGAAGTGGACCTGTTCTAGAACGTGGTGATAAATTTAGTTCCAGAAGTAAGTCTTATGAACAGGATAATACATCTTCAGGTAACGTTTAAAGTTGGTGTTTTCTTGCATTTTATGTATAAGCTTCTTATAAGCTGTAATTGATGGTACAGTAATTCCTGTCGTATTCTGCTTGTCCAGAGTAAGAAATGCAGATTTTATTAGCAGATTTATGCCCAAGTATGTGATAACAGAATGCCAGCTTTATGTTGTGTTCGCTTTGGAAGGGCACATACTACATGTTTGGCATCAAGCCTGCCAGGTTAAAGTTATCCTTCCAAAATATTTTTGAACAAATTTTTTAGACTCGGTTTGATGCGTTGCCAGGTGATGGTGCTGTGCACAATCACTTCAGGCCACCCTAGACCAAATTTTACAGCCTTATGGAATTGTGGCCTGTTTGTCTAAAAATATTTTGATTTTCTTTGAATTTTTTTCCCTACGCAAGTTGCACTTTCTGTCATAATGAATATGGGCCCCGGGGATAGAAAGTCTTTTCCTTAGTGTTTTAGGCCAGTTGTCAATGTTGTTAGTTCGTGGAATTCTTTCTTCAGAGTCCTAGTTTTGTGTGTGGTCTGGTAAGAAGTTTGTTCTGGAGTCAGAGGTGAGTGCTATAATGCTGAATGACCTTGCATTTCAATCAATAAAATTTTATGTGTACTTAAAATTTGCCAATGTTTAATCAGAGGGATGGGTCTGAGGAATATTTACTTCAATGTATAGTTTTCGTGGGATTTTCAAGCTTTCACTGTTTAGAAACTGATTGCATATGCTGTTTATCTACATTGGGTTTAAAGAAAAAAATGTTAGTGGGAAATACTTCTGCTTTGTGGTACCTTTGATTGCTTCTAGTTGAGTATATTGAATAAAAATCAGAAATAGTAAATGCCTATAGTGGTTTTTTGCATGTTTTTTCAGATAATTCTGAAGACTCGGATTACCAAGAGAGAGAACTGTTGTCAGACTACGTAGCAAGGCATAAAATAGGTAAGATTATTTTAAGAAATCTTAATGTAAGTGCATAAATACCAATGTATTTCCAACTTGATGTAAACTTTGCTGAAGGAGACACAGGAATGGTTCATATGTTAGTAAGTATTTACAGATAAAGCGTGCTAGTTCTTTAGGGTACTATGACCCTTCTCTAATTTTTAAGTTACTTTTGAAAACTTCTAGTGTTTCTTTTATTACTGTATTCAGCAATTTTCTTTTTAACTGTCACATTTCCATTTTTCCTTTAATATTGAGCCAAGACACAGTTCAGTGAGAGCAGGAAGAGTTTGAATTTGTTTTACACAGTGTAACTGCGGGTGCAAATAACTTGCCTTTGGTGGTGGTCCGAGTCCGGACAGGATGCAACAATGGGCCTGCAGTCGATTCCAGTCTCATATTAGTCTGTTTTTATTGGGTTTTATTCCCTTTGTGATTTTTTTTATGCACAACACTGTAGTTGTCTACCTTCAAAAACTATTTTGGCAAGTTTTTTTTTTATTTACCGTTTTTCATTTTTATTTTTAACATTTAAATATTCTTGACTAATTTGCTTTCAACTCTTAAGGGGCTTTTATTCTTTCTTACAAACACTAAAATATCAAATCTTACTGTATTCATATATGGCAGCTTAGAAAAACTGGAAGTCAAGACTGTGTAGTAAGTAAGTCTGGAGATAAATATCTGAGAAGTATTGGAAACATGGGATTTCAGATGGCAAAAGTGCTGCTCTTCTGAACCTTGGAGATGGGCCTTGAGAATCTGGAAGAGGAGGGGCTGCTTGTGCAATCTCTGTTACTCTCCTCTTGCCTTTCCACTGTTGCCAGTGAAATCCCTCAGATTTAGACTTCTTAGTCTCTGTTGAGAGCTTTGTCTTCCCAGTTGTGGGATGTTTGCTGCTCGTGTGCTTGAGCCCCTCGTGTCTGTATCTCGGTGATGCACTAAGTCATGTAGAATGAAATCTAATATAAAGTCAGCATGGTGACTGTTTAAGAAAACGGAGGGTGAAATATTGATGTGTGCCAAAGCAGGCTTTTGGTAATCTGTGATTCCTTTTTCCTGTTGTGATAGTGATGTGATATAAATATCACCTGGGAAGTGCTGACCCCTGATAGGGAACACCAGGAAAGGGTATCTAATGTTTTCCGTTTCTGAATTTTCCTCTCATGTTTAATGTGAATGGTTTCATCCTTTAAATCAGTAATGCCTTCCAACACACCAAATGTTCGTCGGACAAAAAGGATACGCATCAGACCTCTGGAATATTGGCGAGGCGAGCGTGTAAACTATACCATGAGGCCTTCAGGTATTAGTTCCAAAATACTTCTTTCCTTTCTCCTGATAGGGCAGTAGAGAGAAATCTGTGGGTTGATCTCGTGCCAGGAAAGCTTTGGGATGCTTACCATTTGGTAATTTTTTTAAAAAGCAGATTATTTATGGTCTCCAGCTATTTAGTCATGGTTCTGTGTAGTCTTTTTCTGTCCTGATACTCTGTGTCAGCTAGAAATAGTATCAGCAGAGCGTGTTAAGTACCTTTGCCTTAACTCTTCAGGGAAGAACAAAATGGTTTCTCTGTACTATTAGGTTTATTACATCAAAATTCTGTATGATACTGGAAAAAGATCATTTCTCTTTGTGTCAGGATTGTTCTCCAGAGCAGACACCATGATATTTTATACAGTCTCAGTGTTAAATTCCCAAAGTGATAGAATGTATCTTGTTCTCAGGGATTTTTTTTTCTGAAAATTCAGCCTAATTTGGCTGTTTCCTGATTAATTATTCCGCTTGAAAATAGTTTTTCTGTACCTAAAATTGAAATTTTGCCTTAAAAATTGACTCATGTCATGATTTTCTGAAATGTTGTTTGAGATATGATCAAATTCTTTTCAAAAGTCTCAAGTTACACTGCACCCCAAAATACTTGATGTTGAAAAGCATTTTGTTTTTTTCTGGCTTTCCAAAGCTGTCTGAAAAGTTCAGCATCAAGGAAATACACCCTCAGCCGAAATGCTTGTTGGTTGTGCAGGTCTGCATTCTTGTAAAATTCTTATGGTTTGTGAACTTTGTGAAACATTCTTTTGTTTCAGGAGCGCTTGTGATTAGTGGAATAGTGTGTCCAGAAACAGAACCTCACAGGAAGATTAATCGGAGGAAAGGAGGTCACAAGCAGAAAAGAGATGAAAGAAGTATGAACACAGACTTTTTTCTTTTGATACGTCAAAAATTAAATCAATCTGTAATCAAGTACTCCATTGCTGTAAGATTTTTCTCCTCTAAAAACTTGATTCTCTGTCTGGGTGAAAATAATTTTATAATGAGATGTGTTAATGTAGAAAAACCTCTTTGTATTGTACCTGTAGCAATGCTGTATAATCTTGTTGTAAAAACTTGAACTTCTCTGCAGTAGAAAGGAGGAGATAGAGGACATACCCAGGAGGGTTGTGGTGCCTTTAAAGCAGGGGCTGAAGAAAATAAGCTGTACTTCTGTCTTTGTTGAGCTCGTTGAATAATGATGCTAATTATTTAGTTTCATAACGCGCAGTTAATGTATAAAAACTTCTGGT